AGTCACAATATACTTAGAAGATGCCTTAAAGCTGAACTTCAAGTAGATATCAAAGACACAAATTAATTCAGTCCTGTATTCAATAATAAATAATGAAATTTATTTTCAACGCAACCATTATGAGTTCTTGAATTTGACTTGGTATCTTCTTCTCGCAGCTCCCTATACCACAACACTCAGGCTAGGAGAAGGAATAGAAGCACTTGGAGCTAAACAGATGTGCTGCATTCAAATATGTTGACAAATAATTTACTGATGGGAGGTGATTACGCTTTCACTGTCCAGTCAGAAGGCTGGGAGTGGAGAGAGAGCAGCAGTGGATTCTTCAAAACAGAACTTGCACTTGAACATATGGTCTACTTATTTTTATTCACCCATCTATGTCAAGACTGCAATAAAGGAAAAAAAAGCAGGGAAAATGCATTATATACAGTACATTATATTTATCTTACTTCTGACTTTCAGCCATGGTGCCTTGCCAAGTATGACATCACACTCTTTCTGTTAAAGTCTCAAGGAATTCCAACTAGCTGAAATGTTACTAAAAGATGCTCCTTTGCTGTTCTAGAGCAGCCTTTCTCAACCAGGGTGCCCAGACACCCTTGGGTGCCTTGAAGTCACTTTAGGGGTGCCTTGGAAAAATATCTAAAAGTTGACTAAAACTTGTATACAAGCCAGCAGATGGAAGAAGCCTGACTTTTAGTTACACAAAGCCACAGGTTTTCATTGTGCACCATTACGACTTTCTAGCCCCCAGCATCCTGACAACCAATCAGTTGATAAGGAGGATGTCAGCTGCCTGCACAGCATCCTTGTTTGACTCTCCCTTGCCCCTCCCCATCAGTGCTGGAGTCACCTTAGCTCAGTGATGGAGAAAAACTGAGAGAAACACTGGAATACTACTCAGGACCAGTGTGCAAATGTGTATTTGATTTGGAAGAATAAATCACTTCTAGCGTTGGGTGTCCTACATGTGTGGATGTTGCTGCATTATATAAAACTATTATAGTTTTTACATTTTAGAATGGGGTGTCTCAGGACTGTCCATAATTTCAGAGGGTGCCTTGAAATTGTCCGTAATTTTAAAGGGTGCCTTGACTGAAAAAAGGTTGAGAAACACTGTTCTAGAGCATAATCTCATGAGATTTAAGCTACTTAACATTTTCGGGATCTTTGTTGGACGGAGTGTGATGTCATCCCCTGTAGTAAACAAGAGGTAAGTTAAGTATATTGATTATCTTTTTCCCTACTGTATTTTTTTAAAAATGTATTGCAGTGTTCTAGCATTGAGACAACGATATGCTGACCTTGTTTGTAATGAAAGTGGTATTATCCTTGTGGCCTTGCTGTGTGACAGGGCTATTTAGATCTCACCGCTTGATAGACAGATCCCTTGTAAGTATTTCCTCTGCGTTTTTAGCTGTTTCCTTAAAGTTCAGCTTTAACCACTTGCCATCAAGAGGAATTAATGATCAGGCCTCTTTTTGCAATTCTGCACTGCACTATTTTGACTGATAATTGCACGGTCCTGCAATTATGTACCCAAACAAAATTTACGTCCTTTTTTTCACTCAAATAGAGCTTTCTTTTGGTGGTATTTGATCACCTGTGCACTTTTTATATTTTTCACGCTATAAACAAAAAAAGACTGAAAAACAATATTTTTTACTTTCAGCTATAAAAAATATATAGTAAACTCAAAGTTAGTCATAAATTTAGACCAAAATATATTCCGCTACATGTTTTTGGTAAACAAAATCCCAATTAGTATATTGATTGCTTTGTGTGAAAGTTATAGCGTCTGCAAACTATGGTATAGATATTCCAATTTACTAAATTTGTTTGCTATACAGTGCTGCACTAGTTTAACTAACAATTGCGTGGTCATGCAATATAGTACTTACATGACATTTATGTCCTTTTTTTAAACACATTGAGCTTTCTTTCTGTGGTATTTGATCACCTGTGCACTTTATATTTTTGGCGCTATAAACAAAAAAAATATTTTGAAAAGAAAAAACAATTTTGAAAAAAAACGATATTTTCTCATTTCTGTCATATAAAATACTCAAATTTGGTCATAAATCTAGACCAAAATGTATTCTGTTACAGGTTTTTGGTTAAAAAAATCCCAAAAGTTTATATTGATTGCTTTGTGTGAAAGTTATAGCGTCTACAAACTATGGTATAGATAATGGAATTTATACAGCTTTTACTTTCTGTCTGCCCATCACATTTCTTTTGGTTCTAAAATACCAGGACAGTACAAACACCCCCAAATGACCCCTTTTCGGAAAGGCATATTGAGTCCATGGAAGATTTATTGTTTTTCCACAAGTTTTTAGAAAATTTACAAAAACTTTTTTTTTTACACAAAGTTGTCATTTCAATTATATATTTCTCACGCAAGCCATGGGTATATGTGGAATTACACCCCAAAATGCATTCTGTCAGGGCTCCCGAGTGTGACCAGTGGTATGTGACTGACGCAGGGAAACGCAGACTTCAGATATGTTATAAACAATATAATTTATTAACACTAACAATACAAACATAAACGCAGTGCAATACTAAAACATAACACAGTGCAAACAAACCAAACAACCACCCACAGATAACAGTACATACAATGCAAGCGTCGTCAGGCAGGCCGGGTCAATATCAATCGGGCAGGTAGGTACAGGGGGAGCAAGCGGAGAATGGTCGGGGTCACAGGCCAGGTTCAGCAGGTAGCGGGCAGCGTGGTACAGAGGGTCAGGGTCACAAGCCAGGGATCGGAACAGGAGAAGTCAGCAGAGGTCAGAATCAAGCAGGGTCAGCAACGAGACAGGAACAGGAACAGGAACGCAGGTTTACAAGATACAGGGCCCAGGAAAAACACACACCAAGGCAGAGAGTCTGCAGGTCTGGCCATCCCTTAAATACACCAGTATAATTAGTTCCAGGTGTTTGACTGGCTGCAAGGTTGAGTCTCTGATTGCTGGGAGCACCCGCTGGCCAGCCCTGGTACTGCAGCTCATAAGGCAGGTGAGTCCCACTATTGCTGGCCAGTCCATTCCTGACAGTACCCCCCCCTCAAGGAGCGGCCTCTGGACGCTCCAAACAGTCCTAGCTGGGCAAAATGTTCCACCGCCCGGGTCTGGTAACTGGCGGGATATCAAAGACTGGCACACCGGGCAGGACTCCGGGCAGCGGCACACCGGGCAGGACTCCGGGCAGGGGCACACCGGGCAGAGGCACACCGGGCAGAGGCACATCGGGCTGGACTCCGGGCAGAGGCACATCGGGCTGGACTCCGGGCAGAGGCACATCGGGCTGGACTCCGGGCAGAGGCACATCGGGCTGGACTCCGGGCAGAGGCACATCGGATTACCAGGCGAAGCAGCAGCAGGCAGCGGGCCACCAGGCGGAGCAGCAGGCACCGGGCCACCAGGCGGAGCAGCAGGCACTGGGCCACCGGGCGGAGCAGCAGGCAGCGGGCCACCGGGCGGAGCAGCAGGCAGCGGGCGGAGCAGCAGGCACCGGGCCACCGGGCGGAGCAGCAGGCAGCGGGCCACCAGGCGGAGCAGCAGGCACCGGGCCCCCAGGCGGGGTGACAGGCATCGGGCCCCCAGGCGGGGCAACAGGCACCGGGCCCCCCGGCGGGGCAACAGGCATCGGGCCCCCCAGTGGGGCGACATGCATCGGGCCCCCAGGAGGGGCGACAGGCATCGGGCCCCCAGGCGGGGCGACTGGCATCGGGCCCCCCGGCGGGGCGACAGGCTTCGGGCCCCCAGGCGGGGTGACAGGCATCGGGCCCCCAGGCGGGGCGACAGGCATCGGGCCCCCAGGCGGGGCGACAGGCATCGGACCCCCAGGCGGGGCGACAGGCATCGGGGCCCCAGGCGGAGCGGCGGGCGCCGGACCCCCAGGCGGAGCGACAGGTCTCGGGCCCCCAGGCGGAGCGGCAGGCGCCGGACCCCCAGGCGGGGCGACAGGTCTCGGGCCCCCAGGCGGAGCGGCGGGCGCCGGACCCCCAGGCGGAGCGACAGGTCTCGGGCCCCCAGGCGGAGCGGCGGGGCGCCGAACCCCCAGGCTGAGCAACAGGTCTCGGGCCCCCAGGCGGAGCGGCGGGCACCGGACCCCCAGGCGGAGCGACAGGTCTCGGGCCCCCAGGCGGAGCGGCGGGCGCCGGACCCCCAGGCGGAGCGAAAGGTCTCAGGCCCCCAGGCGGAGTGACAAGTCTCAGGCCCCCAGGCGGAGCGACAGGTCTCAGGCCCCCAGGCGGAGCGACAAGTCTCAGGCCCCCAGGCGGAGCGACAGGTCTCAGGCCCCCAGGCGGAGCGACAGGTCTCAGGCCCCCAGGCGGAGCGACAGGTCTCAGGCCCCTAGGCGGAGCGGCGGGCGCCGGACCCCCAGGCGGAGCGGCGGGCGCCGGACCCCCAGGCGGAGCAACAGGTCTCGGGCCCCCAGGCGGAACAGCGGGCACCGAGTCGTCTGGCAAGACTGCGGGCACCGAGTCGTCTGGCAAGACTGCGGGCACCGAGTCGTCTGGCAAGACTGCGGGCACCGAGTCGTCTGGCGGAACAGCGGGCATCGAGTCAACTGGCGGAACAGCGGGCACCGAGTCGTCTGGCAAGACTGCGGGCACCGAGTTGTCTGGCAAGACTGCGGGCACCGAGTCGTCTGGCAAGACTGCGGGCACCGAGTCATCTGGCAAGACTGCGGGCACCGAGTCGTCTGGCGGAACAGCGGGCATCGAGTCAACTGGCGGAACAGCGGGCACCGAGTCGTCTGGCAAGACTGCGGGCACCGAGTCGTCTGGCAAGACTGCGGGCACCGAGTCGTCTGGCAAGACTGCGGGCACCGAGTCGTCTGGCGGAACAGTGGGCTCCGAGTCAACTGGCAAGACTGCGGGCACCGAGTCGTCTGGCAAGACTGCGGGCACCGAGCCAACTGGCGGAACAGCGGGCTTCGAGTCGTCTGGCAAGACTGCGAGCACCGAGTCGTCTAGCAAGACTGCGGGCACCGAGTCGTCTGGCAAGACTGCGGGCACCGAGTCAACTGGCGGAACAGCGGGCATCGAGTCAACTGGCGGAACAGCGGGCACCGAGTCGTCTGGCAAGACTGCGGGCACCGAGTCGTCTGGCAAGACTGCGGGCACCGAGTCGTCTGGCAAGACTGCGGGCACCGAGTCGTCTGGCGGAACAGCGGGCATCGAGTCAACTGGCGGAACAGCGGGCACCGAGTCGTCTGGCAAGACTGCGGGCACCGAGTCGTCTGGCATTGGATCGTCTGGCTCGACAGTGGGCATCGGGTCACCAGGTATGACAGCGGGCACTGGGTCACCAGGCATCAGGTCATTTGGCTCGCCAGCGGGCACCGCGTCATCTGGCAAGGCAGTGGGCACCGAGTCACCAGGTACGACAGTGGGCTCTGAGTCAATTGGCACGACAGCGGGCACCGGATCAGGTACCGGATCATCTGGATCAACAGCGAGCATCGAGTCAACTGGCCTAATAGGATCATCAGGCTGGATCAGTTCATTATGCTGGGTAGAGGCATCCGGCTGAGTAGAGGCTTCCGGCTGAGTAGAAGCTTCAGGCTGAGTAGAGGCTTCAGGCTGAGTAGAGGCTTCAGGCTGAGTAGAGGCTTCAGGCTGAAGAGAGGCATCAAGCTGAAGTGAGGCATCAGGCTGAACCACGGAAGGCAGGTTCTCAGACGGCAGGCTGACCGGTTTGGATACTGGCAGGATGGTACTGGTTGGAAAGAATTTTCGCTTTTTTCTGGTTTTAACTACTGGAGCACTGTAAGTAAACGCAGGTCTGCAAACGAATGGAGCAGCTGGAGACAGAGAAGAGCTGGAGGATGGAACAGGGGAGGGAACAGTTGCTACAGAGGGCTTTTTTACAGGGTTAAAGGCAGGATAGGTGCAGCGAGTGGGAACAGGGTACTGACATGCGGTAGATAGCAGGGCAGGAGGAGCTGTTGGGAATGCAGCAATAGAGCTTTGAGGAAATAGATTAGAAGCAGGACTGGGTTTTTGTAAGCTGACTGAGGCTGGGTGCAACAAATCTGTCCATGTCTGCAGTATGGGTTGAACAAAGCTGAGCTTACACAAAGCCTGTCGGACCAAAGACTGCACTGCGTTTATACAATCTCTTAGTACCTGTGGTGAACATGCAGCATAATGCTCCAAGAAGCAATCCACATCATCCTCTAATAACCATACCAGGGACTCTACCTGGTCGGCACTAACTGGCGGCAAAAATTCATCCCTGCATTTGGGGGTACCAGATGAAACCAACTCCGCACAAATCTGAATCAATGGCTGCACCTCAGAGAATTCTGTGCCCTGATCTACTAGAACATGAGCGAGCCGTATACATTCTAGCAGTTCATCCCGGGGACACTCCTTCAGAGTTTGATAAGCATACTCTCTGTCATCAAACACTAGCAGATATAAATACACAACCTCATCAAGATCCATCCTTCCCAGCAACAAGCCAAGATGGCTTCCCTGTGCAGCCACTTCTGGTCAGGATTGGCCTTGGTGTAATGTCAGGGCTCCCGAGTGTGACCAGAGGTATGTGACTGACGCAGGGAAACGCAGACTTCAGATATGTTATAAACAATATAATTTATTAACACTAACAATACAAACATAAACGCAGTGCAATACTAAAACATAACACAGTGCAAACAAACCAAACCAACCACCCACAGATAACAGTACATACAATGCAGGTGTCGTCAGGCAGGCCGGGTCAATATCAATCGGCCAGGTAGGTACAGGGGGAGCAAGCGGAGAATGGTCGGGGTCACAGGCCAGGTTCAGCAGGTAGCGGGCAGCGTGGTACAGAGGGTCAGGCAGAGGGATGGTCAGGGTCACAAGCCAGGGATCAGAACAGGAGAAGTCAGCAGAGGTCAGAATCAAGCAGGGTCAGCAACGAGACAGGAACAGGAACGCAGGTTTACAAGATACAGGGCCCAGGAAAAACACACACCAAGGCAGAGTCTGCAGGTCTGGCCATCCCTTAAATACACCAGTATAATTAGTTCCAGGTGTTTGACTGGCTGCAAGGTTGAGTCTCTGATTGCTGGGAGCACCCGCTGGCCAGCCCTGGTACTGCAGCTCATAAGGCAGGTGAGTCCCACTATTGCTGGCCAGTCCATTCCTGACACATTCTGCTACTTCTACCAAGTACGAGGATACCACATGTGTAAGACTTTTTGGGAACCTAGCCACATACAGGAGCCTGAAATCCAATGACCACTTTAAAAGCCTGAAGGTGTGTAACTTCCTCATTTCACTTCCTCACTACCTATCACAGTTTCGGAGGCCCTGAAATGCCAGGATAGCACCAACCCCCCAAATGACCCCTTTTTGGAAAGTAGACACCCCAAGGAATTTAAAAAGTGGCATGGTGAGTATTTAGCATTATTTTCTCACAAGGTTTTGAAATATAAAAAAAATAAAAGAAAAAATATGTTTTTGTTTTCGTTCTCCATTTTCCAAAAACTTGTGGCAAGAAACGAGATCTGAAAAATAATCACCATGCTTATCAAATTCCTTGGGGTGCCTATTTTCCAAAAAGGGGTCGTTTGGGTGGTTAGGTGCTATCTTGGCATTTCAGGGCCTCCAAAACTGTGATAGGTAGTCAGGAAGTGTAATGAGGAAATAAAGTCCTTTAAAAGGCTGAAGGTGCTTATTGGATTTTGGGGTCCTGTACTTGGTTAGACTGCCAAAAAGACTCACACAAATGGTACCCCCATACTTGGAAGAAGTACATGCCGACACAGGGTCAACATGCGGAGGGGCGAGGGAGATTTTTTGTTAAAGTTTTCTTTTATTTTTTTTTTCAATTTTTTAAAATTATTTTTACACTGTCCCTTTTTTTTTGTTAATCACTTCTAATGCCATCATAGGGAATGCAATGGGCATTGTCATATATTCTTTTTTGAGAAATCTATGGTCTATCAAACTCTAGATATCTCCTCTGCTCTTACATTATCTAATCTCACCAAGATCAGTGTGATCAGATGCTTTCCCAATTTACAAATGGTGCTGTTTATACCCTGCGAAACTAAAGGGATGACATGCTCATAGCTTCTAGTCTCTTAGACTATAGAGATCATTAGCACCATTTCGGTCTCCAGTCAGCGCTATGGTGAGCTGGCGAAACACCGGCTGCAGTCTCAGGTTCCCCCGATGGCACGGGACTGCCCGAGAAAGGCAGCGGGGGAGGGGAGAATCGTCTCCTGCTGCTTGTAAAAGCAACCCTGCACCTAATTAGCCAATAGGATTGCTTTTACATGAAAGCTGATTGCTGGCTGAAAAAACTATACCAGGATGATGCCTGCAGCTGTAGGTATCATCCTGGTATAACCATTCAAAGTCCACTGATGTACCACTACATCACTGGTCCTTGCTGGGTATATATGCTATGTGCTTTTTTTTCTTGTATGCAGCCTGTGGGCTGAATGAAAAAAAAAGAGAAGAAATCTCTGCCAGAAAAAGTGTGTGGTATGCCCACCATTAGAATATACCACCCTGCATCCACCCACTTCTAATGGTGGGCACGATGCCACATGCGCCAATTCCAAGATTGTACAAATATCTAATTAATGTCATGCTTGAATAAAAATTTTCCTGAATAAGTGGTACCCCATATGGAAAAAGGATGACACCAAGTCCCGAACTATCTTGCCACTGCTCCCCATGTAGTCTGGGCATCTGGGGGGCTCCACGTGACTATCTTTTCCCTCATAAATCCGAAACTTATATGTATAGCTTGTTGCCCTCTCACAGGTCTTATACATTTTGACCCCATATCTGGCACGCTTTCTGGAGAGAAATTGTTTGAATGCAAGAAGGACAGAAAAATTAATGAGGGACTCAACGCAGATTTTTTTGCTGGAGAGTATCTGCAAATTTTTAGTCTAGGTGATTTACAAGGTGCCAAATTTTTTGGAGCTGGTCAAATTCAGGGTCACCCCAAGGAGGACAGAGTGTATTGTCATTGAAATGCATGAAACACAGTATGCTTTCATATCTATGCCTGGCTATGGCAGCAGAGAACACAGGATATGATGAATTGGGACTGTGGACCAATACAACCGCAATTCATTTTTTTTAGTAATGCCCATGTTGAGGGTTATGTGAATTGGAATAACTTGCGATCCAAAGGTGTGACAATTTCTAGAGGATCGCCAACATGAAACACATAACTACAACTGTGTATAAATATATTTACAAATATATGTTGCGCTCCTGAATATTTACCAATTACTGATAAATAATAATTAAATTAATACCATTAAATTAATTCAAATTCATAATACAAACAACTCATAAAAGTGTATAAATGCCAAATAAAGTAATTAAATAATTTTAAAACTAAATTATCACCTTCAAATCAATTTCAAATTAATTTCACATTAAATACTCCTCTAAAAATGAAAATAGTGATCAAGTGCTCATTAATCATCAATTAGTGACATATTATACTTACTAATACCCTCAATTTCATTTCAATTCATAATACCCACAATTAATTTAATTAAAAAATCTAAACCAAATTATAACCATCAACTTAATCATATTTAAATAATCCCCCATAAATAAAAGTGACCAAATACTAATAAATCATTAATTAGTGACTAATATAAATCCAAATATATCATCAAATCAATAGTCCCATCAATTGAAAAATATATAGTGACTTGGTGCTTGTTGTTCTTCAATTAGTGACTTTTGTGAATCCTTCAAATAGTGAAGATGTACGCTCACCTCCTTTAATGCCTACAATTAGGCTATACACGCTTTCGGTTCACTTCCCCTGGAACCTGCTAGATATAGGCTCTTGCTGGTTAAATAGGGAGATCCTTTACATAGGTAAAAGATCTATAAAAATCACACAGTAGTCAGACTGCCATATAGATTTTGGTGCATGAATCAAGTTCCCATAATGGTGTAATGAATAGATGCTTTTCTCATTAACACTTGCTTCTTCAGAATCCATTTGCAATCCATAGCAATTTGGCACATGCTCATGTGTACGCATAATGGTTCACGTACCCGTGCGCATAGACAGGCACATCAGTGTTCTCGCATGCACTTGTGACAGATGTTGGTGTCAAATGGGCTGTTTAAACTGTGCCAGTGCTCCGGATCCGTGTTATTTTGTTTTCAGTCTTCTGTGGGTTCTGGGATCCTGTGATTCTGTGTCCTGTCTCCAGTTGCTGACCCAGCTTGTCCTGACTACTCCTTGAACTCTGCCTGCATTGACCTCGGCTTGTCTTCTGACTACCACTTCTACCTGCTCCTTCTGTTACTGTTCCACACTTTTGCCTGTGCCTCTGAACCTGATCTGTCCTGTAAGTGTATGACCCAACCTGCCTGACATTGCTAGCTTTTTACTATGCTGCATGATTATTACTATCAGTTCATATAATGCCTGAAACGGAGGCCAGTGTGCCTCAAAAGCTTGCACTACAATCAAGTTAATTAGAC